TTCATTGCAGCTCATCCAACAAGCAACTGCAGCCAAAATATTGTTTATCAGGGGAATATTAATACGCAAATGTCTCTAAAATTTACACAAATGAATTCTTCAAATATCTAATTGCATACACTTCATTAAACAGTCGTAAATTTTTCTAAGGTACAGAAAAGCTAATCCAGTAATTTATTTCAGACAGTTGCAATTGTATATCACATTCCTGATTGTATGTAGCAAAGATATTTATTTAAAGAGAATTCAATAGTCTATTTCCATTGCAGTAAAGGACTATGTAAGAAAAGAGTCCTTTAAAGGAAAACTTTTGTTAAAAATTAATATAACATATGTAACGCAAGCCATTTTTCTAACTGAAAATAACTTGTCAAGGCATGGCTTCACTACCTTTTGTCTTGTACAGTTGTACAGGCTCCTCTACTTTATTCAAATGGCTTATTCTGATTTACTGCACACTTTGAGCTTCTCACGGTGTGCAATAGAAGCTGCAGCAATTCAGTTAGAGCCTCCAACATTTGCAGCATCATTTATCTCTTTCCTCCACAGCCTTACTATCCCTGGCCCACCACCTTCATTTACTGGATTTCAGTTCTTTAAATCATGGAGGCTCAGCAACACATGTGGGTTTTACCTAGTGCTGTCTGCATGCAAATGCAACCTGTCTAGGAATGCCCCTCCTCCAGACTGACAAAGCATTTTGACATTTGCATATCTCCTCCTAAGAGCCATCTCACTACTTGGGGCTGAGGGCTTCGAGAGGTTTACTAAAGCAGGGTGCTATGTACGGCACCCTTCTAGGCCTTCCCAACTGCCATAATCTGCATAAATTTCATAGAAAAGCACAAAGGGCCAATGATGTTTTCATTAGGTTTAAAAAGGTATGTAATGAAAAAGGAAAGTTGTTACTTAAAATGTGTTCCTCATGATGATGAGGAGGAATGCATAAACTAGGGAGGGAAAAATATAAACAGATTAAATATCAACTTTAACCACTTCCCGTCCGGCCCATGTATATAAACGGCCGGACGGGAGCAGTGCAGGGGTGGGTGACCGTTTATAAACGTCCTCCCCGTTCCCTGCTTGTGCGTGCTCCCTGGGAGCGTGCAGCACCGCAATCTGGTGCCCGCTGTGACCGATCATTGCACGGGACCTCTGTGTGAGGTCCCAATCACGTGATCACTGATTGGCCAATCAGTGATCACATGAAGAGTAGTAAGCAAGATATGGCCATTTAGTTCCATATATAAGCATCCTTCCAATGCATTGCACCTTCATCTATTGCTCTGAGGAAGGGAGTTCGACTCCCGAAACGCGTTAGCACTTTATCCGAAGACGCATGCTGTCCACGATTGGCACCTTTGACTTCTTGTCTCTGTTTTTATGACCTTTATGGCTTGTGAGTATGTTTTTGCATCTTTTTTAATACATTTATGGTTTTTGCGTTAATGCACGAGGACAGTGTTCCTTGTTTTGTTTTTTTTTTCCTTTATGGCTAATTGTAGTCTGGATTAATTGTTACCCACTACTTTGTTGTGGTCTGGAAATATATTATTGGCTGTTAAGTACTGTTTCTAGGCCCTATTCTGAGCACTTTAATAAAATGTTTAGGTTGACTCCATATCTTCGTTGGTGAATGATAGCTCCTTTATGCCATGCCATTGTCATTCTAGCTACAGATGCATCTGACTTTTCTTGCTGCTAAGTGACCTAGCACCCAAAGAAGCTCCGAAGAAAGAGTTCTCTACAAAACATGTCAAGCTACTAAATAAAGGATATATTATTACAAGCCAAAAGGCTGAAAAATCTGAATTATAGATAGTTTGTTCTATTAAGGATGCTTTTTATTACCGTAGATATTTTCAATGAGTTCAGTGTTTTACACCCCGGTCACATCAAACCCTATTTTGAAATCGTGTGACTGACAGTGAAGTCGCACGATTTAAAAATCTGGTGACATGCTGATTTCAGGTGCGATTTGTAAGACATCTGATACAGATATCATGCAAATCACACCAAAAGTAGTGCATGTAGTACTTTAGAAATCTGTGCGGCTCCGACCAAGTTGGAACTGCACCGATATGACTGCTCTAATTGCAGACAATAGGCTGCGATTTGCAAGTCGCTTGTCATGCAAATCGCATGCCAATTCGCATCCAGTGTGACCAGGGTCTTAATTTTGTATAAATAAAGTTGGTTTGTAATTTTATATACTTGTGTTTCCATGCCTATAAAGTCTATGATCTCTGGTAATGCTATTATTGCTTCATTAACTAGGGAGGGTAAAAAATAAACAGATTAAATATCAGCTTTAAAGTGAATGTAAAGCTGTATTTTTTATTTTGCTACAACAGAAAAGAGATTATACTTACTACTGTGTGGCAGGTACTATGGTATTGCACAGAGCTGGCCCAAACCCCCTCTTCTGTGTTCTCCCCCAAAGCAAACCGCTTGCTATGAGGGCAGTTATGGGGGCCTGCTCTCGATCCAGGCTGTGCGCGTTCATGCACACACACAGCGCAGCTTAGCCACACCCCTCGCTTTCTCCTCACAGAATATGACTGACAGCAGAAGGAGCCAATGGGGAGTGGGGAGAAGACCTGCAGATGGGCACAGCGCTGGATGGATATAGCACAGGAGTATTTAGGGAGGGGGGATGGAGGATCAGCATAGAATGCATTAAGAAAAAAAAACTTTTGCTTTTATAATCACTTTAAAGAATCTCTAAAGGTAAAAAAAACTTTCAATAGAATGTGAAAATGTTAAAACCTCTGTTTCTTTATTGCTGTCTGTTTCCCACTGACAAGACAAAGCTAGCCATACACTGTTCATCAGGAACTGATCAAAATTTGTTTAGTGGGTGACCCTGTGGTCCCCCTCCCTCCCCACATGCTTCAGCTGTGCTGGCCAGAAATTGCAGGCTGAAGAGCAGCTGCATCCTCAAACACAGTTTAAACTGGAGGTGTTTATAGCAACCAATGTAATGTTCATCTTTACATTGGTCTCCAGCTCTTTCCAGGGAGATTTCTCAAGATCCCTAGCCAGCGAAATTATATACAGTGGCGTAACTAGGGTTGGTGTCATCTGGTGTGGTACACCATGGTGTCACCTCCCCCTCCCAATAATTTTTTATCTGTCCTGTTATAATTGCTCCACAACACCCCGCCCCCCATTATAATTACCTCACAACACATCCTCCTCTGTGACACATAATCTTCATGCAATAACCCCTCAAATTATAATTACCCCACATTACATCTAATTACTCCCCCCCCCCCACACATACACAGACAACCTCCATAGTTTTAATTACCCCACTATCCCACCATCCCCATTATATTTCTCCCAATGTATTTCCCCCATTACAGTTACATCCCCCCATCATAAAAATTCACCCCTTCCTTATAATTCTCCTGCAGTCCCCCTTTAATTATATCTACCCTTCCCCTACAATTATAATTTCCCTGCAGCCCCCCCCCCCCCCCCTTCAATTATAATTCCCCTTCCCTACACAATTATAATTCCCCTGCAGCCCCCCCTTCAGTTTTAATTCCCCTGCACTCCACAATCTCACATTGCATGCAATTCCCCTGCACCCCCCTCCTCTAGTAACCGCCCATTACCAGGACAACCGGGGAGCACACACACTGCACGTCCAGGAGGTGGAGACAGCCAGACTTGTCCTCCCTCCTCAGAGGTCACCGCCCCTCCTCCGTTTTTGTCATCTCATTCCACTCAAAGCCCAGAATATACCTACTTGATGGTGTCACCCCTCTGGCGGGTGTCACCCAAGTGCAGTGTCCACCCCCCCCAACGACGGCACTGACTATATAATCTCACCATTATTTTGTAGGTCTGTCTTGGTACCTCAACAGTACCTCAATATATTGTAGGTCTGTCTTGGTGCCTCGATAGTACCTATATATATTGTAGGTCTGTCTTGGTACCTCGATAGTACCTCAATATATTGTAGGTCTGTCTTGGTGCCTCGATAGTACCTCGATATATTGTAGGTCTGTCTTGGTACCTCGATAGTACCTCAATATATTGTAGGTCTGTCTTGGTACCTCGATAGTACCTCGATATATTGTAGGTCTGTCTTGGTACCTCGATAGTACCTCGATATATTGTAGGTCTGTCTTGGTACCTCAATATATTGTAGGTCTGTCTTGGTACCTCGATAGTACCTCGATATATTGTAGGTCTGTCTTGGTACCTCGATAGTTCCTCGATATATTGTAGGTCTGTCTTGGTACCTCGATATATTGTAGGTCTGTCTTGGTACCTCGATAGTACCTCGATATATTGTAGGTCTGTCTTTGGTACCTCGATATATTGTAGGTCTGTCTTGGTACCTCGATAGTACCTCGATATATTGTAGGTCTGTCTTGGTACCTCGATAGTACCTCGATATATTGTAGGTCTGCCTTGGTACCTCGATAGTTCCTCGATATATTGTAGGTCTGTCTTGGTACCTCGATATATTGTAGGTCTGTCTTGGTACCTCGATATATTGTAGGTCTGTCTTGGTACCTCGATAGTACCTCGATATATTGTAGGTCTGTCTTGGTACCTCGATATATTGTAGGTCTGTCTTGGTACCTCGATAGTACCTCAATATATTGTAGGTCTGTCTTGGTACCTCGATAGTTGTTCGATATATTGTAGGTCTGTCTTGGTACCTCGATAGTTGTTCGATATATTGTAGGTCTGTCTTGGTACCTCGATAGTTGTTCGATATATTGTAGGTCTGTCTTGGTACCTCGATATATTCTAGGTATGTCTTGGTACCTCGGTGCAGCTACCATATAAGACACACACATGCTGTCTCATGTATCACCTCTCGGATCTACAGAGCACTGGCTCTACAGAGGTATCACGCTCACCAGCCCATAAGCCCAGCATTCCTGAAGAAAGCTAATTCCACTGCCTTCTCCATTCTGGTTCCAGCTTTTTCAGCCTGCGTCCTATTAATTGAATATCAAGCTGACCACACATACCTGAAGGTGGCAACACAGTTGGTGACTGGCCAGCCAATGACGAATGACCTCTCTGGGTATGTGCTTCCTTCACAGACTTCCTCCATGCATGACGCTGTCCACATTTCACTGACACGCACATGGTGCTTTAGTTTATAGTGGGATGGGGATCTACAAGTAAAAAGGCATAAATTATTTTCAGTATGTAAATCATATGTACCTGTAAATCATTTCTACATCTGTGCAGCAAATGTGGTGATTGTATCTATGTCATGGAAGCTATGCAGGAATCAGCATTTGTTATACTCTTAACCACTTCACCCCCTTCCTGTCCAGGCCAATTTTCAGCTTTCAGCGCTATCACACTTTGAATGACAATTGCACGGTCATGCAACACTGTACCCATATGAAATTTTTTAGCATTTTTTTTAGACAGATAAAACTTTATTTTGGTGGTGTTTAATTACCACTGGGATTTTTATTTTTTTTGCTATATAAATGAAAAAGTCCAAAAAATTTTTAATAAAGTGTTTTTCTTATAACATTTTGCAAATAAATAATCTTTCTTCATAAATCTTGGCCAAAATGTATTCGGTTATCTTTTTAGTAAAAAAAAAACAAAAACAAATTAGTTTATAACCAAAAATTATAATTTTTGTACATTTTTTTTACATTTAATTTTAATTTTTTTATATTATTATTTATGTTTTTGTTTTTAAAAAACTGTCACCCTAGCAGTACAGTGTCACCATAGTGACACTGTACTACTTGTGGGGGGTGATGAAGATTTTTTTTTTTTTTACACTGATTGCTTTTACACCCATAAAGACTGTAAAATCAATCATTTCTCATTTTCTCTGGCTGCATTCTTGCAGCCATTGAGAAATACTGTGTGAGCTGTGATTGGTCACAGCTTGTCACATGGTACAAGGCTGTTGTGAATAGCCTTTTACCATGTGACCTGTGTGATCATTCACAGATTTCACAAGTAGTAAGCAATGATGTCAGAAGTGACATCTTGCTTACTACTATTCATGTGATCACTGATTGGGCAATCAGTGATCACATGATTGGGACCTCACACAGAGGTCCCGTACAGCGATCTGGACACAGTGGGCACCAGATTGTGGTGCAGCACGCTCCCAGGGAGCGTGCACAGCTTGAAAATGCGGGCACCGTTTATGAACTTCAACCTGCTCCTGCACTGCTCCCATCAGGCCGTTTATGTACATGGGCCAGACGGAAAGTGGTTAAAGTAACATGTTGGGGAGGCTGCACGTAGCTATGTAGGCCTTAGGTAGGTTTATCCACTGGATTTACTAACACTTCAAAGAGGAACTCCAGTCTCCAGTCAAAAAAGTTAAAGTAAGCAGCTACAAATAGACACATAACTGTCCAGGGATCCAGCGATGTCCTCACCCGAGTTGATTCCTCAGTTGGCTTCGGGTGCTGGCACCGGCATCTAAGGTAAGGGAAACCAGCAGTCAAGCCAGTTTCCCGCCACGCTGCGATTTCTCAATAGTCCCACAGTCTTCTGGGATTTGTGATGTGTCCCAGAAGGCTGCAGGGGAAAGGAGGAGAGGCAAATGTCGCTGCAGCAAACTGACCAGAATTGGGGGCAAGTACCTGTCAAAACCAGGTACCCGCCCCCCCCCCCCCAAAAAAAGTGCCCAATGTCGAAGGGGGGAGGATGCAAACAAGAGGAACTCCCCCTTTTAGGTGAAATTTCGCTTAAAGCTGTGATATTAGTGTAGATTTACCTCTCAGAAATAACTGTGTACCATTGTTCCCTTAAAAACAATATTCTCCTTTCTATTATATAGGCTCTCTTCTTTATCAAGTCATATTTCTTTGCTCTCTGCTTTAGGGGCCAAGGTACAGGTAATGTACTTCTTTATAGTATTTAAACTTCATCATGTGAACAGCTTCTGCTGTAAAATTGTATTTATTACTAAAACTTGGTAAAAGGAGATGAACATGTTCAGAACTAGCTAGAAAGAGCAGAAATTCAGGTCGGTTCCACAGATTACCTAAAAGGTCAGCCGTATTTCTCTGCTGGGGAAGGAAGGTTTATGTCCAGCACAAGAACACACAGTAAATTCCTTTAATTCCCAAGGTCATGTTTACTATGTTAGGTTTATAAATACAGATCATGCTTAACAGTCTCATCATATCCCATATCTTTGCCCATAAACATGCCACATTCTTCAACAAGAACTGTCAGCAGTAACACATCTATGTAACAAACATTTTCTCATGTATCTATCATGCTCTCTAGCTTTTCAGCATTTGAAGGGAAACGAATTAATATATATATATATATATATTAATATATATTAGGTATATATATATTTGGACACAGGCGCAGTTTTAGTTTTTTTCAGGTATTTACCAAAACATATTCAAGCTATAGTTATATAATGGATATGGGCTGAAAGTGCACACTCTCAGGTTTAATTTGAGGGTATGTACATCCAAATTGGAGGAAGGGTTTAGTAATGATCATTGACACTCCACGAGCTGAGATCTTGCATGGTGCACCAGACATAGGGAGATTGACAATTGCTTTGTGTTTCTTCCATTTGTGAATGATTGCACCAACTGTTGTCACCTTCTCACCAAGCTGCTTACCAATAGTTTGGTAGCCCAGTCCAGCCCTGTGTAGGTTTAC